ACCATCATTTTTAATAGTGTTCCGAACCTCATGCGATTCTGTTCGATTCTATTCGATTTCAATTTTTGGAACCATAGATCTATATAGTTCTGAGATTCATTGCAGATGTTCATCCCGAAGACTAAGTATAATATCATGATATGAAAACTCGGTGTCTTGTTCATTTTCTATAATTGCTGCTACCTCATTGGCAGTTGGTATATTGTAACATTGTGAATCTGCAAGTCTTTCTGCTCTGATCACCATCGAGAGTGTTATAGTAAGTTCTTGTATTAATATGTCACGCACCTGCTGAAAAACTACTACATATGGATTAACCTGATCCAACATCTGTTGCAAGTCTGCAAGCACAGTAGCGTCTAGAGAAGGCATCATGGTTATCCTGTTCAACACCTCATGTTCTGTGTCATAGATGTAAAGTTGAGCAAAACGTGGAGATGCTGTAGCTTGAGCAGGTAGAAGGGATCCAATATTGTGATACATTTCTCCATGGATTTGGAACATATAAACACCTAAGAAACACAAAAGATATATAAAACATGAAAACTATAATAATAGTTAAGAAAGTATTATAAAAGTATACCTCCAGCACCCGTAACACAATCAATAATCTTAGCACCTATAGAAGTAAAGGCTAAGGCTAAGTTATATGACCGAATTTTTCGACGAAAGTTACGTGCCTTGGTATCAATACTAGTAAGAAGTGCATGTAGTATAGGGGGAGGATCTAGCAGAGCTGGAAGAAGAACCTTGCCTTGTATACAGCAATTTGTAAATATAGGTAACGTTCTACTGAAGTTTGTTTTTTTTTCCTCTGACCATATGATGGCATCACAATTTTTGCAAACTCGATCCATTCTACCTATCTGGTGTTGCTCCAGATCACCTGATTGAAATAGTTGCAATGCTATTGGTAAAGAAATAATATGTAAAATGGTAGCAGGAATAGCAGTAATAAAAAAAGAATCAATGGGAGAAATAGCATTAAGAGATTCTATAATAGAAGTATCTACTATATGCATATATCTTTGTCTTTTTGATTGCCAGAACCTTGCAGCATCTTCAGGTGTTTGATTTTGTTTTCTTTGTACTGCAGCCTCTCTTCTCTTCTTTAGCTGTATCGCTTTGTCCTCTAATATTACCCTTTCATTTCGTTATCTTGCAGCTTCCCTTCTCAATTTTAAGCATCTTTCTCAGGATGTCTCCTTATAATTAGCATTTTTTTTACTATTATTAAATATCTTCTCTGGTTCAGATCCAGTGATATCTCCATCTGCCTTATTAATAGTGATAGTAGTAAGAGCAGCTCTCTTTTGACAGTGACGTTACTGTCGTTCATGTTGGTGCCTTTTCTGTTGGTCTTTAGGAGTTTCATTGGTCATGTTACACAATGTGGGTTCTAAGCTTTTTATCACTTTATTTAATTTTAAACATATCTAAAAAAAAATAAAAATCTTAATATATATAAGACATTTTTAAGGAGAAAAAGAAGAAACTTATTAGATCATGTTTTTTTTTCTTATACAAATAACAATATAGTGTTGTCGTCACCGGCAAGTCTGTCGCTAAAATGGCTTACTCTTTGTGTGATGATAATCCAAATGCCTGGATTACGGCACTAAATAAGATAAGGCTTTAACTCAGAGACAGATTAACTTTTCGCACACTTGTTAATCTCTACTTGACCATCGCTCTCTTTCTAGGCGCGTCTCAAGATTACAAGTGTCACACTCTTACGGTTCACAAGGTAACGTCACGTCTTAAAGACGTTTACTTTAATGTAGTGGCAGGGACTTAATTTATACTTCCTTAAAGAATGTATCTTGTTTATTATGCAAAATGAAATAGCATTTATTTAATAAAGCGTGAGTGTGCAAAAGTAAACAAGTGTTCTAAACGAAACTCTAAATTGCGGACCTCAAACTTTCTAAAACTCTTCCTAAAGCTATATAAACTATCCTATTTATATGCCTTGTTGATGCGTCCATCCCATTACATGCTATTACTAATTATTACATTATTCTTCCATCAATGTTGTTATTATTGCGCGTTGCGATACAATATCGTGTTACTGTCCCTATTGTTCTTATAAAAATGATTAATTCAGATCCAGTGATATAAGAGGCTCTTTCTTTGAATAATAATATTGCTTTCACTTATTCTGAAATCCTCAAGGGTTTTGTTTAAGACATGTCTAAGGTGAAAAAGAAGAAACTTATTAAATTATGGATTTTCAATTAAATATTACTAATCTTATTTCATTTCGATATATTATGAGCTTTTGTTATTATAATGGGCTTTAGATATATGGATTTTAACTCGATAGAGTAATATATAGAATTGTATTGTTTTTTTTTTTTTAACCCGCAATCAGACTGGTGTCATATATTTATTAAATTATAGAGAACCATTACACGCATGAGAATACATGCAAAGTACAAATTCCCTCGACCCAGCTCACCCGTCTTAAGTCTAAGCCTCTAGATGTAATTTATGGGAGTGATGCGTTGCTAGCCTAATGGTTAGGATTAAGATCCAATTGTACCATAAGGATTACAGCCTGCAGATTATCTCTACAGTCACGACTATAAACCCAAATTGTGTTGTTCCCCTTTTGCAGAAACTACGCAAGGGGCAAGGGATAAAAAAAAAAGAATAAGGATAGAAAAAACAGCACAAATGTGCACAAATAAAATGATGTATAAAGGGGAATAAAAGCTATCATCTATTCTATCTATTATTGAAATGGTATTTCAGTGGACAAAATCCAGACCCCTTATGAATACTTACTTGTCATTACCTGTGGTCAGTTAAACTGTTTAATTTCCATCGAAGCAGGTGATATCCAAGAATGTTTAAGGGCACTTCCTGGAGAGTATTTCTTGAAACTTTATGCATGAAAACTTCTGATCAGAAAGGATGTTGGTTTTTTATTGTTGATTTCTCTCCCAAGCCATGTCTTTCTGGAATTACTGCTTCACTCAACCAGTGGATAGTTTCAAGACCCC